AAAAATCAACGTAAATAAACATTTTATTAATTATTTATTTAGTAATTAATTATTATTTTTGTTGTCCGTTTTTCGTTTTAATTAATTAATTAATCGATATTTTATTTATTTTTTTTTTTTTTTGTGTGCGTAACGATAAATAAATCAGAAAAACGTGTGCATATTACATATATATATGTATTCATTGCACAATTTCCTTTTCATGTAAATAATAATAATAATAATAATATTTTAATTAATTAATTAAGAGAGAGAGACAGTTTTATGTTTTTTTAGTTACATTATTAAATATATATACATAAATTTAATAAATTGTATTTCTCTCTCTCAAAAAAAAATAATAATAAGAAAAAAAAAAAAGGGAAAAATAAAAATTAGGCTTTTTATTTATTTTAAAAAAACTTTTCGTTATTATTTTACAAAATTAATTAATAATTAATTAACTAAGTTAATATTTTAATTAAATTACATAATACATTAATTAATACATTATTAATACATTAATAATAATAATAATAATATAAAAATATGAAGAAGAAGAAGAAAAATTTGGAGAAATTTTTTGTAGATGTGATAATTCCTATTTCTTTATGATTGTGATGATTGATTTAATTTTAAAATTAATTATTATAATAATGATAATGATAATGATAATGATAATAAAAAAAAAAGAAAAAGTTTAAATTTAAAAATAATTTTTAACGATTTCGTTAATCTGTGTGTCGGTTTGTCACGCTTTAAATTTTTTTTTTTTTTGTTTAAATATAAAATAAAGAGTGCGTGACGACGGTTAACCGTGAAAAAAAAAGAAAAAAAAATTTTTTAAATGAATGATTAAAGGAATTGTTGGAGGGGGGGGGGAATTTATTGGTCTAATAACGGGATTCTCGAGTTTTTACTCAATATATATATATATATATATTTAAAATTTTTCCAAATGTTTTTTAAGACGATGAAAATTATCAAATACGTCCGAATGATTAACATAATCGTTAATTTTTTCATTTTGATTAATTAAAATGGCATTTAAACCGGCATTTTTTGCACCTAAATAATCATTTACGTAATCGTCACCAACGTGAAGTGCTTCGACTCCATTATGACAATTGCCGAGTTTTAAAGCTTCTCGGAAAATTTTCTCGTTTGGTTTTTCACATCCGAATTCGTAGGACGTTAAAACGAAATCAAAATAATTATTTAAATTCAATTGTTTTAATATTATGTGCAAACGAGGATCGTAATTGGATACGATTCCTAAATTTTTTTTTTTTTTATTTTTTAAATAATTTAATAAATCTTTCGTTCCGTCTCTTATCTCGAATGCATCTGCGGTCGAATGATATTTAATTAGGTCATTTGCTATTTTCACTATTTTATTATCGTTTTCATTAATGAAACCGTCAAATGTTTTTTCTACCATTTTCATCCACCATTTTTCCCAACCCAATCCTGTTTTTTTACCAAAATTCGGATGTTTTTCCCGTAACGAACTCCAACCTTTTAAAAAATTTTTTTCCAATGTTGCATAATCGGCATTTAATCCATTTTCGAATGCCGTCGATGCATATTTTTTCAAAACGGGTGTTTTAAATAATAAAATCGTACCGGTCACGTCGAAAGTGATTAATTTAATCGATGATGACATCTAAAAATAAAAAAATTATTTTGTAACAAACAAACAATGTATTATTATTTAATCCTTTTATACTCCGTCCATTGAATTTACATTTGTTTTTGAAATCCGTTGCCAACCGTCATTTGTCGAATGTAAAAGGAAATCATAAATACTACGCGTTAAATGGAGTGACTTTTGCCATAAAAAAAAATTGAAAGAAGGTAAAAAACTCGCGTAGTAAAAGTCATTACGTTAAATCAAATGTAATTGTTTTTATTTTGTTTTTTTGTATTTTTCATACGTTATGATCGAATAAAAAAAACAATTGCTGTTTACGAACAGTTTCTTTTTTTTTTTTTTTTGTGAAAAAATGGTAAGAAAAAAGAACTTACATTTTTTTTTTATTTTTCACAAATAAAATATGCTTTTTTTTTTTGTTAACGCTTTGACGTGTCGTCTGCACTTTTTTTTTTTTTTTTTTTAAGACGCCATTGCACGTTTACTTTTGATTCGTATTTTAATCACAAGAGAATGTGTGTTTGGCAGGTTTTCAATAAGTTTATAGAATGGAAAAGGATCCACTAAAGGGAAATGGTAATTCTATTCCCTTAACTGTTCCTGCATCATATCAAGCTGTTAATGATCAGGTCAGTGTTTAACTCATTAACTGTGAAACCCTACAAATATTTTAATTTTATTAACTTATTTTTTATGTATATGATGTATGTGTGTATTTTATTGTAATTTTTTCTTTACTTGCTTAATTGTAATCGTTATAAAATTGCTATAATATTTTCATAGGCGTTTTAAAAACTATTTATGCACTCAAACTTGCAATTGCAATTTTTTACCTGTTTCACCATTAATTTTTAATTCATTTGACTAAAAAAAACAAAAAAAAAATTAATTAATCTTTCAGCTTAAGTAATAAAATGCAATTATATTGTAAATCTACGTCTCTATAAAATTAATTTTATTTAAAATGCATTTGAAAATTACGACGTATATTCTTTTGTTAGCTTTTTTTATTTTAAAATAAAACACTCAAAAATTTTATTTTTAGGTCAGTTTTTTTTTTTTTTTTTTGTCAAAACTACTTGAAATGTCATCGAAAGATTATTTCATTGTTTTTTTCTGTGTCATTATCAACTTTAGTTTATAAAACCAATTTTTAAAAAAAAATATATTTAAATACATTCGAAGATAAATTTTTATTAAAATCTTGCATGATGTGCAATATTTGAATTATTAAACAAAAAAAAAAAAAACAGCCATATGTGTACATATCGTTTAATATTCTTTTTTGTTATTAAATAGTATTTAAATATGTCCAACTGTTATGCAATCTTATTTTATTACTTTAAAAAGAATACAGTTAAAATTTAATTAATATAATGTTTTTTTCTTTTTCTTTCTCTCTCTCTCTCTCTTTCTTTTAATTTAACAGATGCAAAAATCTCATACAAATGGGCAAACGGTTTCAATAAGTTCTGATGACGATATGATTGACATAACAACATCCGGTGTCAGTAACGATAATCAAGATGCATCTAACCAAGATGAAGATTATTCAGAGCCAGGTAACAAAAAAAAGAAATTAATCTGCCTTTAGATAAATTTAAATTTTACTTATGATTTACCTTGCACAATTAAATGAATAAAATTTGCAAAAGAGAATATTTTATTCTTGCAGTATTCATTTGTTTTTCAGTTATCCACATAAACGAAAACTTTTCATATTAATTTATATTATTACCTAGCACATAAAAGTTGATAAAATGTATTTCCTCAATGATTATTTATATAAATTATTGGTTTAGATAATTTATTATTTTAAAATTATTAATTTTCATATATATTTTACCTATGCATGATATTTTTCTTTTATTATTATTTTCTTTTAACTAATTGTTTGTAGTGCTAGATTAAACGAAACATTTCTCGAAACAAACAATTTATAAAATATATATATAAATATATATATTTAAAATAAATTGAAACGAATAAGTAATTTATTTATAAAATTTTAATAATAATGATGATGATTAGTTATTATTTTTAAAAACAATTGAAACTTGAAGTACAAATCATAATTTTGTCGTTTAATCGAATAAGAAAAATTAAGTCATAATTATCTAATAATTAATCATATTAAAAAAATGAGTCGAGTGAATAAAAGTATTGACTATCATAAAAGTTATGAGAAATGTTTTGTGTTGAGATTAAATTGCATTGGATCCGCCCCACAAAAAAAAAAAAATAATAATTTTTTTTTAAATTTTTATCATTTATTTTGTGTTGTGTGTCATTTAAAAATTTGATTTTTTTATTTATTTTTATTAAAAATTTATTAATCATTATTATTTATTTTGCACTGCTTTTTATTTTATTTTATTTTATTTTATTTTTTTTTATGTTGCGTTTGTGTGATTAGTTTTCAAAGGACCCGTCAATAAACGTTTAAGAGAATGTGGAGGTGAGTTTTTTTTTTTTTTTTTTTTTTTTAATTTTTTGCCCTTTCACATGATATGGATTATGATTATTATTATTATTATTATTAAAACTTTTATGGTATCAATTTCAAAATATTGACCTTGGAATAATGATTCGAAAACCTGTAATTATTTATTATTGACTTCTTGTGGTTGATGAATAAAAAAAAAAAAAAAAAAAAAAATTTTTTTTTTTTTATATATTGAAATGTAAGCCATTTACAATCATTTGCTGATCGTTTAACCCCGAAGGATGTATGATGATTCATTTATTTATCGAAAATTTATCATTTCCCTCGAATCTCTCTCTCTCTCTCTCTCTCTGTGTATTAAATACTCAATAATAAATAAATAAATAATAATAATAATAATAATAATAATTGTTTTAAATGACTCAGTTTGATTGATGTCGAAACGTTCTTTTCCCATTTATCGGGGGGTTTTTTTAAACGTTTGATAATATTATTATTAATATTTTTTTTTATTTTTTTTTTTTTTTTTTCATTTCAGTTGGCATATCTTTTGGAGGAATGCACAGTAAGTTGAAAATAAATTATTATTATTATTATTATTATTATTTTATGGTTTTCCCCGAGCGAGAAGCCGCGACACACACACACACGCACGCACACCATTAAACCAATACAGTTAATATGCCAAAGAAAGAGAGAAAGACAGACAATATTTTTGTTGTTGTTGTTGTTTTCCTTTTCTTTTCTTTTCTTTTCTTTTCATTTTTCTTCTGTAATAGAATAAAAAACAATAATTTTTTGTCACCTAAAAAAATGTGCGTAACACACGACATTTGAGACAATGAATTAATTGTTTAAAAAAAATTTGTTAAGGCCACGTCAGTCAGTCACACCAGGTGATAGAATTTAATGATGAAAAAAAAATTTTTAAATTATTATTATTATTATTTTTTATTTTTTATTGAAAAATAATTAAAAAATATGGTTGAGAGGAGCGGTTATAATTTTTCGAACGTTTTTAATTTTTTGGCAAATTCAATAATTAGACCATTGAAAATTTGTAAGTATTTGTTTTTGTGTTATTCACGTCTTTGAAAACGTATAACGTCGTATATATATTCGTTATTGTTTTTTAAAAATGGATTCCCCTCACTTGTTGACAGGAAGCACCCCCCCCAAAAAAAAAAAATGTTCGATTTTCCCTTCGTGAAAAAAAAAAAAAAAAAAAAAAATTCAAAAATTTTTCATCGTAACCTCCTTACTTGATTTTTATTCATGGAATCCGTACATATACGTATTATTATTATTATTTTTTCCCCCCCCCCCAAGTGTAACATCGAGTGTTAATGTTTTCCAAAAATTTTTACCATAAACGAATGAAAATAAAATTGAAAAGGGTTGAATATTTATTGAATGAAATTTTGTATTGTAGTGCCTTGCGAATCGGACGATATACCTGGCATCGGACAATATGAAGATTTTCACACGATCGATTGGCAAAGGGATATAACGAGAGATCGTATGCGACACAGATACATAGTTAAAAAAAAACAGGATTCCATATACGATTTAATTAAGGGAGCTCACGACGCTTGGTCGGGATGGTTATGCGTTCTTTTAGTCGGATTATTCACGGGAGTCGTCGCGGGTGTTATAGACATAGGAGCTTCATGGATGTCCGATCTCAAATTCGGTATATGTCCTCAAGCTTTTTGGTTAAATCAGGAACAGTGTTGTTGGTCTTCGAATGAAATAACGTCGATAAGGGAAATGTTCCCAGGTGGAGGTTATGTAATAATTGTGTGAAAATTTAAAAGAACAAAAAAAAAAATGGCACGCTCGTGTGAATTTGTTTTCATTTGTATTTTTGTGTTTTGTTTTATCAAGTGGTGGACATGGCCAAAAGTATTTAATCAGGCCAGAGAAGGAGCTGGATCCTATGTCATCTCATACTTTTTCTACATATGTTGGGCCTTACTTTTTGCCGCTTTAGCCGCAGCTTTGGTAAGAGCTTTTGCTCCATACGCTTGCGGATCTGGTATACCTGAGGTAAATAATAATGATAATAATTTCATATTTTTTATATAAATCAATTTTAATAATTTTTTTTTTTTTTTTTTTCAGATTAAAACTATACTTAGTGGCTTTATAATTCGTGGGTATTTAGGTAAATGGACTCTGATAATCAAGTCCGTTGGCATAATGTTAGCCGTATCCGCGGGTTTGAGTTTGGGAAAAGAAGGTCCAATGGTTCACATAGCATGTTGTATCGGAAATATATTTTCGTATTTGTTTCCGAAATACGGAAGGAACGAAGCGAAAAAAAGAGAAATATTATCGGCGGCTGCCGCTGCTGGAGTTTCTGTTGCTTTCGGAGCACCCATCGGAGGAGTTCTTTTCAGTTTAGAAGAAGTAAATATGATACAATTGGTTATTAACTTTTGTTATCGACGTTCCTGATTTCTAATTTATCGATGATTGTTCTCCCTTGTTTAGGTTAGTTATTACTTTCCTTTGAAAACGTTGTGGAGATCTTTTTTTTGCGCTTTGGTGGCTGCTTTCATACTGAGATCCATAAATCCGTTCGGGAACGAACATTCTGTTTTGTTTTACGTTGAATATAACAAACCTTGGATATTTTTTGAATTGGTTCCTTTCGTTGGATTAGGTATTATCGGGGTGAGAACAATATTTATTTATTTTTTGTTACGTGGAAAATTAAGTTGGAAAACTTGGAGAAGTAAAATTAAAAATTGTAAAATTTATAGGGAATTATAGCTACGATATTTATAAAGGCCAATTTGTACTGGTGCAGATATCGTAAAACATCAAAATTGGGTCAATATCCAGTGACTGAAGTATTAGTTGTTGCCGTTATGACTGCAGTGATCGCTTATCCCAATCCATATACGAGAATGAATACTTCACAGTTAATTTTACTTCTTTTTAGCCAGTGTGGAATATCAAATTCGGATAATTTATGGTATTTGAAAAAATAAATTTTCCACATCGTATCGAAAATAAATTAAAAACAAAAAAAATTGTTATTCCTTTCAGTGACTACAACAGAAATTTTACAGACGTCAATTCCGCCATTGAAATCGCAGCCGCCGGACCAGGAGTATATAAAGCAGTTCGATTATTATCTCTAGCTCTCGTTTTCAAATTAGTCGCAACCGTTTTTACTTTCGGTATGAAAGTTCCCTGCGGTCTCTTTATTCCAAGTTTATGTTTGGGTGCCATCATGGGTAGAATAGTCGGGATTTTTGTCGAACAATTGGCTTATAACTATCCTTACATATGGCCATTCAGCGGAGAATGTTCCACGGGTGACGATTGCATAACGCCGGGATTGTATGCAATGGTGGGAGCGGCAGCTGTGCTCGGAGGAGTTACCAGAATGACGGGTAAACAAAAAAAAAAAAAAATTGTCATATTAAGAAACCTTTTGGCTGTTGTTTTTCAAAAAATGTTTTTTTTTTTTTTCATTCGAGCAGTATCCTTAGTTGTGATAATGTTTGAGTTAACCGGTGGTGTTCGATATATCGTACCGTTGATGGTAGCTGCGATGGCTAGTAAATGGGTGGGTGACGCTTTGGGAAAGCAGGGAGTTTACGATGCTCACATTTGTTTGAACGGTTATCCATTTCTTGACAGCAAAGAAGAAATGGCACACACGGCTTTAGCTGCAGACGTAATGCAACCAAAGTAATTTTCCATTAATTTTTTTTTTTTTTTTTTTTTTTTACTTTTTTAAATAAACGATCGTTCGTTACCTTTTTTTGCTTTTTTTTTTTTGTTTTAAGGAGCGAACCTCTCACAGTGTTAACACAAGATTCAATGACTGTGGATGATGTCGAATCCATTTTAAAAGAAACCGAACATAATGGTTTTCCCGTAGTCGTGTCTAAAGAAAGTCAATACCTAGTGGGTTTCGTCCTTAGAAGAGATCTTTTACTTGCTATTTGTGAGTTGTCGTTGTTGTTTTTTTTATTATTATTATTTCATTAAATTATTTTACAACTTCGATTTGTATTTGGAAAAATGTAGCCAACGCCAAAAGAACATTGGAAGGGATCAGCGGGCAATCACTCGTAGTTTTTAACACGATACCAGCGGGTCAAACGTTGGGACCCGCACCCCTAAAACTCAAAAGAATATTGGATATGGCTCCGATAACGATCACAGATCAAACTCCCATGGAAACGGTGATTGACATGTTTAGAAAATTAGGATTACGACAAACTTTGGTGACACACAACGGGTGCGTACCTCGCAAAACAACATTTCCCAAAGATTTTCAAGGTTATGTGATAAAACGATAAAAGATTAAACGCGTTATTGAATATTTCAGACGTCTCCTGGGCGTGATCACGAAAAAAGATGTCCTCCGTTACATCAAACAATTAGACAATGAAGATCCTAATTCGGTGCTCTTCAACTGAACATATTTCACGGGTGAGAATCGAATAACGGAAAACCCTTTAAGGAACTTTTAAAAGGAAAAAAAAAGGAAAAAGTTGCAGACGATGCAAACGCATAAGGTTCTCTAAGGTTTCGGCGCCGGAATTCAGGTCTAAATATCGTTTTAAAACGAGTAAATCTCGTCAAAAGACCTTAAGGACTTTTTTTTCTCTTTAATCGAGATTAAACCGAGAGATTCCAAATACAAGAAAAAAAGAAAAAGAAAAACTTTTGGATAATTTTGCGTACGTCATTCCAAAGAAAAGAAAAAAAATTATATATATATATAAAGTTGAAATGAATCGTGATGAGATTAACAAAGTTTGATTTTATTCAGATGAAATTTTATTATTATTATTATTATTTTTAATTAGTACGCGGAAAAAGGAAAAAAAAGGGGGGGGGCAAATATGTTTTTAAAATGGCGGTTTTACTATATATTTTATATATTTTTTGCGTAAATCTAGTATTATTATTATTTTAATCGTGTTTGTTTTGTTTTAAAAATTTTTTTTTTACTTCCGCTCGTTTGATGTAATCAATGTAATGGGGGGAAGGGGAAATGGGAGGGAGGGAGTAGGTAGTAGGGAGTGGTTTATTTTTATTTTATTTTATTTCGTTATATTTATTTTAAATTAAAATCAATTTTTTTTGTTTTTTTAAAATCGTGTTTAATATTAAATTTATTTATTTATTTATTTTATGTATTTGTATGAATTAAAAAAAAAAATTTTTTTAATTTGGATTTTCATAAATTGTTTCCTTTTGCGAAATATAAATGAAATAATAATAATGATTAACAATTTTGTACGCAAAAGTTTATTGTAATCCGTCTTATTGTCGTAATCCACGCGTTTAAATATTTTAATTATTTTTTATTTGTTTCATTTTTATTATTATTATTATTATTATTATTATTATTATGTTAACATATTATGATTATTGTCAAATGATTTTATTGTCGTTTTTAGTTTTTTTTTTTTTTAAATTATTATTATTATTATATATAAATATAAATGAGTGTGTGTAAATATTTAAATAAATATATATTTATAAACATATACTTACGAATTTTAAATAAATAAATATTTATGTAAATGCCATTTTAAAATAAATAAATAAATAAATAGATGATTAATTAATAGGTCGATAGTAATAATAATAATAATAATAATTGCGTGTATGTAAATTAAAAAAAAAATATAAAATTTTAATTTTTTTTTTTTTGTAAAAGGGATCTCTATTGATATTGTATCGTGGAATAATTTATAATGGGTAGAAATTTTTTGTTTTATAAATAAATAAATAAATAAAATTATTTATATATATATAAATTATAAAAAAAATAATAATAATTAAAAATTAATTTTATTTTTTATTTGTCCGATTTCGGATCGATGAAAGGGTTTAGTTATAATTAATATCAAAAAAAATTTTTTTTTTTTTTTTTTTAATTTTTTATTGTCGTAATTTTATTGATAATTTATTTTTGTTAATCGATTGGATTAAATTAATAATTAATATCGTAATTAGTCGTTATTATCATTATCGTTTCTCCCCCCGCCCCCCATTTCAAATTAAATTCGTTTAAAATTCATTTAAAAAATTTATTTAAAAGTCTCAAAACGAATGCATTTTATATTAAAAAAAAATTTTATGTATCTTATATATATATAATTATGTGTAATAATAATAATGATATTTATTTACATAGAAAAATAAATTTATTTATATATAAATACTTATGTACACGTATTAAACCAAAGATTATATAGTAAAATATTGAGTGTAAAATGAACAAAAAAATTTTTTTTTTTTAGATAATTAATAATAAATTAAATTTATTTGTTTGACAATGACAAAAAAAAAAGAAACTTATTGATTAAATACAATTAATAAATAAATAAAAATTATTATTATTATTATATAATTTTTGTAAGTTTGATACGTCATGAAAATGTTGATAACCATATCAATAATCACACACACACAGACATTAACAAAAAAAAATTGTTTTGAAAACTATACACACCGTATTATTATTATTATTATTATTATTACATAGTGTGTTTAATGGATGGTTTAAAATCTATTTAGTAAAGGAAGTAAATAAATAAAAAATTTAAATTTTTTATCAAATAACTTGAAAGTTATCATCAATTGTAAAAATTAGTTTATATTTTTTTTTTATATATAAAAAGTAAGTTTTTCCTTTATTATATTCATTATTATTATTATCAGTGACATTTAAATAAAATTTACTAACAGAACATTTATATTAATTAATATGTCAATAAATGATTTTTACAAATACACAATTAAATACCAAGGCTAATATTAAATTATAATAATAATAATAATAATAATTTAAGTATTGATTTCTTTTTTTTTTATGTGTGTGTGTGTAAGTTTTTGGTTTTTCTTTCATATTGAAATAAATAACTTACGTGAGTGACCTTTGATGTGTGTGTGTGTGTTATAAAATAAAATTATTGTAAATAAAAAAATAATAAGAAAGAAATAAATGTCTCAACGTTTTAAATACGGTTACGATTAAAAAAAAAAAAGAAAATGGCGTGAATTTGAGTAAATTGATTACGTCATATATTTTTTCCGTTATTTTTTTTAGCAATTCAAAACTGCAAAGTTTGAAATAATGTTTTAATAAGTCGTTTAAACGTAGTAACATTTATACATTTTTTAATTAACGATGATTATTTGAGTAATTAAATTACAATAAATAAATATTAATCATTTGAATATCAATTTGACATTCACTGAAAGTTGTTTTAACTAATCAAATTATTAACATAATGGATTCGATAAAAATAAAATTGTAATTTAATCGTTCAGAATTATTATTATTATATCAACGACGTATTTTATATTAATTCGTGATAATAATTTTTCTTTTTTTTTTTTAGATTCGATTAAATTTTGAAATTTTGCAGGTTTTTTATTATTATTCTATTTTGCTATGAGTTACGTAAACGTTTTTTTCGTGGAACTAGATTAGTCGTGATTTTCCGTTACGTAAACTCTGGTTTTATTTTATATGAGATTTTAAAATTTTATGTTCAAATAGTTTTTTTAAATGTTTTTTGAATTTTATTTCGTTAAAACGTTAAAAAAAGGGTGATAAATTTTACACAGATAAGTTAATAATAATAATATTAGTTTTGTAAAAAATAAAAATGTTTTAAAATTATTGTTCTGTTTTGTACTCACGCACAACTTGCTTGCTTTTATGAAAATTTTCAAAATATATCAACAGACAAAAAAATTAATTACTTGGTAAGTTAAATTTTATACTTATAAATAATTATAATAATTATCATAAATTGTAAATGTTAAGTATAATCTTTATTGCACTAATTAATTCAAACGAGATTTGTTAATCTTGACATTTACATTTTTCCATTATGCTATTAGGGTTAGTTTTTCTTAATTAATCTTTTGATAAAAGTTTTAACACGTTCTTGTTAAGAAAATTATGTTAATGTTTTTTATTTTTTCTATAAAATATTTATTTATGAATTTCAATATAAATATTTATGATTAGAACATTGAAATCACATAAATTTTTTTTCTTCTTGATACAAAAAAAAAAAAGAAACAAAAAATTAAAATCTAAATCATTGAATTATAAAAAATAAAAATTATTATTCGATTACTTTGATTACACTTATTCTCAATAATAAAATTAATTCGAATGAATAATTTTAATAAAAATCATCAATGTGTCTCGAATGTAAAATACCTTGATTAAATAACCCCATAAAATCAATTACAACATGTTTTTTTCATTTTGAATAACTGTTAGTCTTCCTATTGATGTTTGACATAAATGGAAAATTATTTTTAAAAAATTATATTCGATAATAAAATCAAATATCGTTTGAAATAAATAAAATTTATGATCGAGTGCTGAAAGATCATAATGTGCTGAGTACATAAAATAAAATTAATGTTTTAAAAAAAACTTATCGATATGATTGTTACTCATTATGATTATTTATTAATCACATTTGCTACTAATTTAACTAATTTAAACTACTATATATATGAGTTACTAATTAACTAATTTGAAAGTATATATATGTATGAGTATTGTGCGAAGAATTCAAAAAATGATTCGTTTAATAATAAAGTTTTGAATTTATTATTATTATTGTAAATAATATCGAACATGTATTTATGTAATTATGTTGTATATTAGATATATTTAAATTTGATAAAATGAAAACCATAATTGAAAAATAGGACTGCCTGCAACATAACAAATAAAAAAACATTTTAAAAAAAAAAAACTAATCGTAAACATTGTTAACCAATGTTTAAAAAAAAAAAAAAAATTCAAAATCACTTCCTATTTAATTTTATTATTTGATAATATCTAATTATACTAGATCAATACTATTAATATTTAAAAATCATTCATATTGGTAAATAATAATAATAATAAATTATAAAATTTAATTTTTTGGTCTTGGCCATGAAAATATAAATTTAATAAATTCTAGTTAGGCAAGGTCAAGGTATTTATTTATTAATTTTTTTTTTTGTTTTTGATTTTCTACATTGTATCTTTTTTTTTTTTTTTATAAAAATTTTTTGTTATTATGTTTTTCCGCATGATCGATATGGAAGGAACATATTTAATTTTGTAAACTAAAACAACATCTCTCTCTCTTCTCATTTATTTCCTAGTTTTTTTTTTTTTTATTAAATTCAAAACATTTTTTTTTAAAGAGTTAATGTTTAATTAATGAACAACAAAACGTTTTCATTAAATTACAAAAAAAAAAAAAAAAAAAAAAAGTTGATGGCCTCCAGGTTGAGGACATTCATTCTAGGATAGTTACTGATGTGTTGACGTTTTTCAGTTTTTCCTTTAGGATAATTTCTCGATTGTTCTTTAACCTCGGACTTTCCTTTCGGAAGTAAGATGCAATTTATCAAGGAATTGGGTCAGGTCTTAAGTCTTAATCCCTCTCTATAAACAATTAATTAAAATTATATATATAAAAAAATAATTTAAGGTATTGTTTTGCTTTTTTTTGTTTAAATATTAACAATAATTTCCTATAAAGTAAATTTAAATTAATAAGTTTTCGAAAACAACAACAATAATAATAATAATATTAAAGTTCATTTTGTGTTTCCTCATTCATGAGATTCATTTTATTTTTATTATGTTTGTGTGAAATGTGATTTTTTCTTTATAGTCGTTATGTTTTTTGTTGTGTTTTAAACATTTGCATTTTTAATAATTTTCATTCTTGGAAAATTGTTCGGAAAAGATTTTCTTCGGCATTACTCATGAGTAACAAAACATAGGTCGAAACAATTATTATTAAGTTGATTCCATTTTAAAAAATATTTATTAATTCGTCGCATTTGAGTAAATTTTTTGTCTTTTTGGTAATGTTTTAAAATGGAGAATGCAAAAAGAGAGAGAGGAGGAGAGAAAGAGAGAGAGAGAGAGAGAGAAAGAAGGAATTTTATGACTTGATTTTAAACAAAAAAAAATTTTTTCTAAGTACTTTTTTTTAAAATTATATTTCTTAATAGATTTTTATATAATAATTTTCAATTAAATTATTAATTTTACATTTTTATTATTCTTAGTGTAACTAATTTTTTTTTTCTTTTTCGAATTCCATCGTTGAACATAATTTTTTTTTTTTATTTTATTTTTGATTATTACGTTGACGTAATTATGTAATTATAAATTTAAATTTTGCAACAACAACAACAACAAAAAAATTATTATTATTATTATTTACCACCACACCTACATTCTTATTGAGTCCTGATAGTATTTTTTTTTTTTTTTCATTTGATTATTTGATTTTATTTTTAATACAATTTTACTTTGATTAATTTTTATACAATTTTACGTAAATATGAACGTAACGTAAAATTTTTTTTACTTATAATTTAATAATATAAGAACCACGTCGAAAAGCAGGTAGTACTCGATAATTAAAAAACTTTTCGAACGATTAAGGTTTTCATTATTATTATTATTATTATTATTAAATTTAAAACATACAAAAAATAAAATAAATTTAATTGGTTTTAGGCGGATTGCCATAAAAAAATTTGTTATTATTATTATTATTATTATTATTATTATTTTTAAATTAATTTTATATTTTAAATAAGGAATAATTAAACATTAAACATTGTTTGTAATTAAAAACATGAAAAACTATCATAATAATAATAATATGTGTAACAATGTCATGTCAGTTTTTTTTGTTAATGTAAAAACATAAAAAAAAAAAAACATTCGGCCTTTAAAAAAAAAAAACCCCGCTATACAAATTATTTATTTATTTATTTATATTAAAATTTAATGATTGTTTATATAAATTAAAATTTTAAAAAATTATATTACGTCGTAATTTTTAATTAAATAATTAATTAATTATGGATTCGGGTGATCGGTGATTATTTAATTTTTTTTTCTCTCTCTCTCTCTCATTATTTTATTAAACATTAATTAATTAATTGATTAAAAATTTTAAAATTTATTTTAAACGAATCGTACGAAATAAATAAATAAATGGAACCTTTTATTGTCATTATTTCGCGCAAGGAAAACGAGTTTTTCGAAAAAAAAAAAATAAATAAATAATAAATTAATAATAAAAAAGAAACGTAGTTTAATTTATATATATATATATATATATATATATATATATATATATATATATATATATATAAATTACGCTACGTAATTATTAAATTTTTAATATCACAAAAAAAAAATTGTTAGCGATAATGATAATAATGTTTTTTTTTTTTTAAACATGTTTACCGTAAAGTTTTGTTTAAACATGTTTGCATAAATCATAAACTGTTTGTACGGTGGGGGGGGGGGAAGGGAAGGAACAAACAAAACAAAAAATTTGTTATTCAAACACATTTTATTGTAATTTTTTTTTTTTTTTTTTTGTTGTCGCAGCCATTGTCATTATTTTATAGGTTAAGTTACAAAAAAGAAGAAGCAAAGGGTAAAAAAAAAAATGGAGCGGATTTTTTTTAAATTTTTTCGTCTGGAATCCGCAACGAAAATTTTTCTTTTTTTTTTTTTCTTTTTAACCTTTCGTCGTTTTGCTCCAATTAATTTTATTAAATGGAGTCTGATAATTCGATTCCATTAATTTAACGTACCGCCATTTAATTATTTTTATTAAAGAGATCGACCTACTCGCATTATTATGAATTTATTTTTTGCAAATGTACGAAATTCGAAAGGGGAAAATCTTTTTTAATGTCGTCGTCTCTTATTCTACTAAATACACGTGTCTTTTTATAGTTTTTTTTTTTTTTTTTTTTTTTACTATTGATAAAACATCGTGGAAATAAAGGTCAGTGGTAGTAGTAGTAGTGGTAGTGGTGGTAGTAGTAGTAATACGTAGCTCTAACACAATCGACGTGTAAAACAAATCCATTTGTTTAACCCCCCCCTTATCTGTCGAGTACGCGTTTTGTTTTCTTTTCATTTGTCGTCTGCTCTCTTTCCCTTCTTTCTTTTCACGCGATTTTCCAGGTTTTAATTTTTATATATATAATTTAAAAAAATTCAATCGCGAAAGTTTTGTGTGGTAAGGAAAGATAGAAATTTTCCATTTTTGGATTTTCTCGTACGTTTTTTTTTTTTTTTTTTTTCGAAATTAAAACACTTCGTCACGGAGGAAAAAAGTAGTAATAATAATAATAATAAGGAAATTTATAGAGTGTAGGACGTCGACGTTTTTTTATTTACATTCCCTTTGTTTTGTAGTGTGCGGTTTTAGATAATCCGTTTGGGTGTCTTATTTTGCAGGAGAGTCGTAAAACGTTTTTATCCCCTCCATCGATATTTTCTCCTCCCAGCACCCATTTGGTTGTTATTGTAGTCTACCGTACGTATTTAAAACAAATCGGGTTGGCAAGTTTTTTTTTTTTTTTTTTTTTTTCATTTTTATTTTCAATTTTTACAACTTCCTTAATCATTTGATCGTTAAACGTGTATCAAGTTTGAGGTGTTTGTTTGGATGAAAATTTTCTTTTTTTTTTTTTTTTTTTTTTTTTTTTTAATGCGCTTCCACGCACATTCGATTTCGTGTTGTTTTTTTGAAAATTCGACAAATCATTTATTCGGTGTTTATTATTATTAATAAAAATATTATTATCATTATTACTATTATTATTCGTATTATGTAACAAATCGCTGGAATATTCGAGTAAATATTAAAAAAATAAGAAATTTCTAAGAGAAAATGTGCGAAAATTTAACAAACGACGACGACGACATGTCGAAAGTAGGAAGTTTATTCAATTTGAAAGATATAAAAGAATCGCTCGCGATTGCGGAAAGTTTGGCGACAACCGCCATGAAAACATCACAATCGGCTAAGAAAAGATTACTCGCACGGAAAATCGAAATGGGATTAGATTCAAATTTGGAATTTGTACCGCCGAAACAAGTTCTTCTCTATCTCGTGCGGTGAGTTGATAAATAAACAAACAAACAAACAAACACGTGGAGGAGGTTCGTGCCTTTTTATTTTTTTTGCGACAGCCGAACGAATTTATATACATTTTTTTTTTTCTTTTTTTCGGATCGAACGTTTCGAACGCATAAGTTTGTTGTGGTTGTTGTTGTTGTTGTTGTTTAAATTTATTTATTTTATTGAGTTAAAAAGAGTCGATGTTTAAAATAATTCAAGGTAATTAAGAGATCATCATCATCATCATCATCATCATCATCATCAATCGGTTGATCGATCGGGTTTTTTTTCATTTAAATGTGTCTAATCGATTGAATCTAATCGAGGGTTAGTGTACCCTTTATAATAATTGTTTGTTTAAGTCTTAAGATCATTATTATTATTATTATTATTATTATTATTTAAAAAAACGTAGGAAAACATTTGCACGTATACATATATACATATTCATTTATATAATACACATTATAATTATTAAATATTGAATAAATTTTTATTAAAAAACGTAATAAAAAAAAAAAAAAAAAAAATTTTTTTTTATTACAAAAATATTACTTAATACGTACATTTTATGTAATTGATGGAAATAAATATATATATATGCAGAATGTAATTGTTAAGGAAAAGTAGTTAATAAAAATGTAATGTAATAATAATAATAATAATAATAATAATAATAAATATAAAAACAATTATTATTTTTTCTTTTATTGTAGTCGCGGATTTGATGTTTTTATTATTATTATTATTATTATTATTATTAAAACGTGTTTGTAAATCAAAAATTTTGACGTTTTTATCACGCGCGCGTGTGTGCATGTGTGTGTGTGTGTGTGTGTGTATCTTTTAATTTTATGTATACATAAATCGAATTGTT